CGACAGCAATTTGTCTGTTCCCCTTCCCCCAATTCCCCAGCACTGTTCCCATCCCCCCAATTCCCCAATAAAAATCTTAAAAAAAAAAAAAGTAGCCTCCCCTTTATCTGGGTGGCACACAATTTAAGTTGCTACCTGAATCTGTCTCCCAGGCTACAGCTCCTTTTTGCTCAAATAAATGCTTTTTATTTTTTATTACAGTCTAAAATTAATTTTGCTTTACGGTTCCAACAGTGCTGGCAATATTCTATTTCTTGCTGGATGGGGAGTATGCCAGTATTAATTTTATTGTTATCCTTTGAGCAGACAGACATTTTTTTGTTATACTCGTATATATATATATATCCTTTCATAAAACATTTTTAAAAACACACTGCTAAACTACATTCTTAAGCTCTTAATAATTTAAATTGTTTCACTATTTTTGTTGGAGGAATTGAAGTAGGACGACCATGTGTTTCAGTTTGCTGATGATTGAGGAAGTTCACAGAACACGGTGTTTTAGTGATAAAACTTACTCTAGATAATACTTTAGCAAGAGAATAATCAACAAAAATGACTATTCCATAATGAAAAGAAAACAAAATATTCCCAATTCTAAATGGAAATTTAGATATCTTTATAAAAAACATTTTTTTTAAAGGAGAATTAAAGAAATAAAATGGCTTAGAGGTAAAAAAATCCTAACAGTTTTGAGTCAGTTCTTACTCAGAGTTGCTTGGTGACCTTGGAAATCAAATCATTCAAGCTTTGTACCTTAGTAACAGGAATTTCAAGTAATGGAATTTACTTGGTCTGGTCTAATGCTATTTCAAGCAGTTATAATTAAGAACAAAATAATTTTAAGTTAATTTTAAGAATTTTAAGAATGAGATCTCTGATTGATTACAATCTAACATTGTAAGAGAACAATAAAAACCTCATAGGAAACATTTCCATTATCTCGTTTATGATAGTCAGTCTGATTCTTTACTTCCAAGTTCACCATCTCATACTACTGTCAGTAATCAACTAGAAGCACAGCTCTAATCATGTTCCTACTCCTCTCAAAAGCCTTCAATGTTTTCTAATTATTTACAGAATAGAAGTTCAAATTCTTAACACGGTAATGAAGGTCAGTCAAAATCTCATCTCAAGCTATATTTTCAATTTTAACTCTCATCATGACACCATCTCACCCCCCCAGTACCAGCCAATTATTTCTGGGTTCGTGGAAAAACTAACTATATCCTCAGATCATAGTACATTTCTCCTCATCTCTATTTATCATGCCTATTAATTCTTCAAGGCTGTCATACCTTTAATACTGCTTCTAGCATGACACCCCTCCCACACACACACATAATCTTTGTCTGTACAAAACCACACTTTGTTTACATCTCTCCTCAGTTTTTATTACTCTAATATTTGTATATTTATTTGCTTCTATAAATTGCTGTCTTATTTATCTCTTTACTACCTAGAGGTATCAGTCTATGTAAATCAAGATGTATGAGTTGAAAGAAATATAATCAGGATATGAGAAAGTGTCAGTGAGATAAGCAGGACTCTCCTAGAGGCCTCTTAAGATCTGAGTCAACCTTCTGCAACATTAGTGCTCCTGCCATTCTTAAAGGGAGGCATTATTACTTGCAGACTCTATGAACTTGGGATTTGAACCAACTATTTTTATAAAGTGATTTGTTGTTAATTACTCCTTTTCTTCTCCTGTAAGAGCTAACTTTTTTCCCCTTTATTTCTTTTACCTTACTTCTCCCAGTACCTTATTTTTAACAATGAATAGAAAATTAAAAAAAAAAAATTTCCACTAACTCATCAAAGGATGCCATAAAACATAAATATAAAAATAAGTCAATATTTTTCCCACATGCAAATTACTTGTAGTGATTTTCTATTTGGCTTTGCAGCTTCTAATCTCATTGTACAAATAAGAAATAAAACAAATATTTAAGGAAGGAAATAAGCAAAAAAATCAACATAAAGGTGCATTGGGAAAATGTTTTTCATTATAGTAGTTTGCAAATTCTGAGACAAAAGTTATGAAAAATACAGCCAGAGTATTAAATTGAAATTCTTATTTATGCAATAAAAGAGTAGCCAAAGTTCTCTCCATTACTGTATCGACAGGGTAAGCCTATGGCAGTGGCCAGAATTTTCCAATAGCATCCCTGCTCCCATAGCAATGGCACACAGAAACACTCACTACATGCATATTGAATAAATAGTAATGATGGTCATCAAAACTGTAATTTCAGAATAAGGTTAAAAGAGATTAAAATTTTCTTTCTGACCATTATAGATAATTAAGGTTTAATACAATATATCCAAAACATTAACTCATCTAAACAAAATATTGGTCAATCTAGAAAGTACTAACTCCCCAATTCTTATTTTTAGGCAATTCCGAAGGATGTAGCATAGAAAGAACAAATAATAAATTCTCTCAAGAAACGACTTCACAGATCTTTAACACTTCTCTTTTTATTGTGCACGTATTACATAAAACTGCCTCCAGGATCTACTGTGTTGTCAGCATTTATTGTGTTCTATAGTGCCTCTTTTATAAAGTATCACAAAATACATTTCTCTAAGAGTTCAGTACTAGAAAAATGTTTGTCTTTCTAGGAAAATTGAAATGCTTATTGTTATTTCACAAATGAACAGATATACTGTCCATTTATGCTCCGTTTTGATTTCATTGTCACGCAAACTCAGTTAGGTTTTGTGCTCACCTGCTGTTGAGGTTTTATGGAATTTTCTGTCCTCACACCCAAAACCATCATCACTTGATTTATATTTTTATCTCCATTTCATAGCAATATTGCATGTCTTTTACTATAAATCTCTTTGAATTCTTTTTGGAAATGGATAGGTATAAATATTAAAAGAGTGAATAAATATTACCAAATAAACATAAAGGTTTGCATACCTTTGAAGATTTTTTCTTTTCCTTAGATCCTTTTGGAATTGATGCTGAAGACATTAAAATCCTATTGATTTCAAGTCCAGTTTGAAGCTATAATATTGAAGACAAAACTTTATAAAATTGATTTTTAACAAGCTTCTGCAAAAACATTCAATGGAAGGTCTCAGTTTATAGGGATAAAAATGCTTTTTGAAAATGAAAAGAAAGCCCAAAATATAATTTTTTGTGTTTGTGAAAGTCACTAAATCTATTGGTAATTACAATCATTTCCTGTTTATAAAAGAATGAATTATTTAAAATACATATCAACCAAACTGAAAATAATCTATAACCAGGAGTTCCTTTAACTGGGGGAAAAAAATGTATTTATCAAAATTTCAAAAGACCTCTTGGCAATGCATTCAAGTATATGAATGTACTGGCAGACTTATTGAGAATTTCATTATCATAGCAAAAAGAAACAAAACTAACAAGCTAGGAAACAGAAATTAGAGTCTAGAATATAGGCTTCAGTTAATGAAAATAAAGTATAACAAAACAAGTAGTTTATTGTGACAGATGACATAGTGCTCTATTTACCTCAGAAGCTTTGTCTTGAAATAGCTTACGTTGATGTTCTTCTTCTTTAAGTTTTTCCTCTAAGTGTTTAATCTTGTCCTGCAAAAAAATAAAAGGTCTGGGATTATTATATAAAAACTAGAGCCAAATATCTTTTGTTCCTTTTCCAAATAGTCTTTGGAGTCTTGATTCTTAATAGTTTGGCAAATTAAGGCAGAAACTAAGAAAAAAGAATAACAAAAGATGCTAAGATTTTTATTGGCTTTCTTCTTATGCTCCATTACTTGCTATTACATGTAAGAACAAAGGGAAAGCAAAGAGTGAACATGTGTAGGTGTTATTAACTTCAGCAACAAAGCCATAATGATGAAACTGGAGGGCTATTAAAGGTCTACAACAGCGGTTCTCAACCTGTGGGTCGTGACCCCTTTGGGGGTCAAACGACCCTTTCACAGGGGTCACCGGGTACTCGTATGTGGGAGTATCTGCATATGGGCCTGGAGACGGATAGAGGAGCGGTGTCTCGGTTCCTAAGACCATCGAAAATAGGTGTTTTCCGATGGCCTTAGGCGACCCCTGTGAAAGGTTGAGAACTGCTGGTCTAGAAGGTCACACATTTTTAGTCTTGGGTCTGTGTTTCATTCAAAACATAGACAAACCACGATAAATGTCTATCATGTGCATATGATAAGGTCACAGTTGTTGGAGGAGGGAGGGAATAGGAAGACATATTAGAAATATAAGATATGGTCCTTGTTACTTAAGAGCTAATACTGTACACAAAGGGAAACAACAGTAACATACATGAAACAATAGAACAACAAAGCAATGAATGTGTCTTGACCTGGACCATGTACACACTTACACACACAATTATTTCATCTTCTATCTTTGGTGTGGTTCAGAATACTAAACAGTAGTATTTCAAAGGAAGAGTTTCCTGAGTGTTTGAGAACTCAAGGAAAGCTTCATAGAGGCAGCAGGACCTGGAGAAAGTCCTATGGAATTGACAGGACTTGGGTGGAAAAAGGAGGGCATTTCAGGACAGGATCTAGGATAGGCTTAACTGCAAGTGGTGAAAGACAATCTTTTTAATATCCTTTAGGTAAATTACTGACAAATGAAAATGTTCTGCCATCTCAGAAGAAGCCAAAATTACAATTTCACATCAAAAGGCAAGCTTATTCATGCTGTGACATAATACATGAACTTTTTATCTCTATAGGCAGGAATTCATATTTGTGGATTACTAAAAGTTGTTAACGAAGTTTTATAAATCTAAGATTTACTGTATATTCATACACAGAGCCAATTATGCCTAACGCTAAAGATTTATTCCTGGCATCACTACTTCAAAGAAATAAGTAGAAGCTTACCTCAGCACTTTTCTGAGTTGTTGTAAGTTTAAAACATTCTTTTTCTAAGACATCAAGCTTTTCAAGTTTTGCTTGCAGCTTCATATGATCTTGTTCTTTTTCCCTTTGAAGTTGGGCCTGGAAAGGATAAAAACAAAACCTGAATTTGGCAAGTGATACCAATGGCTCAAGAATAATACAATTTCTGAGAACTCAAAGCACAATATAAATCTGTCATAAGAAACATGTACATACATGTACATATTTTAGGTGCTTACAAGCAAAAACCAAGAAAATCAAATAGTTTTAAAGAACAAATATAATGTGCAAAAAAAAGATGTGCTATATATTAGCATCAATAAAACAAACTCTTCTGTGCATCTTTATATAACACTTCAAGGAAAACATCATCAGTGAAAGCTGTATTAAAGAGTGACCATTTAAATTACAGAAAGGAAAATAGAATGATTTGGGAAAGTTAGGTGAAAAAATTACCTCCTAATATGATTAAAAGAGCTCTCTTACAAACAACCCAAAAAGGAAAAAGCCCAGAATGACAAAATAAGACTATTTTAGAGTCTTCAGATTTGGAACCCTTCTAAGCTAGATGATTAGAATGCTAGTGCATTAAATGGAGTTGTATCTTACTCAAGGATTAGATTCAGAAGTTGAATATATCCAGAATTACCCTTTAAAATTCCTTAGGAAGCCAGTACATTGTAATTCAGCAGTCAATATTAGAGAATTGGATTATATGGGTGGCTTGTTTTAAAAGCTGTGTTGTCTTTTAGAATATGTATTTTCTGTTTGAACCCTAGAGTCACTCTGTTTATAGAGAGGTGCTCAGATGAGAAGACTTACATAGAAATAAATTGAGGTACCTGCAAATATTAGCAATTCAGGATCACTTCAATCCAATTTCAGAGACTAACATTTTCTGGGTTAGTCTAATAACCTAGAGCAGTTATAATCTGAGTATTTTTCCTTCTTGTTCACCTTTACAAAGAACTCAGAGCACAGAAAATTTATAAGGTTCCTACTCTTGACAGGCCCTGGACTCTAATTTCCTTAGCCCCATAAGGATGGCTATCAATAGCATTACCGTATTTTCCCCATGTATAAGACGCTCCCATGTATAAGACGCACCTTAATTTTGGGGCCCGAAATTGGAAAAAAATTGTGTTACATAAAGTTATTGAACTCAAGTTTTATTCATCATAAAATTCATACAACTCCTCATTACTGTCAAAACTCCCAACCATTAGCTTGTCCTCCTCTGCGTCTGATGATGAATCACTGTCTTCATATATTGCCTCGTCCTCAGTTGCAAATACAAATAATAAAATCTACAACCACTGTATAAGACGCACCCAGTTTTTAGACCTCAAAATTTTCGAAAAAGGGTGCATCTTATACATGGGGAAATACGGTATTTAGCTTCTCAAATGACTGTGCTGGAATCAGAAATGCCCTCAGAAGGATGGGGCCTGAAATACCAGGCCCACCTTCTGGATTTAACTCTACACATAGATTTTGAATTGGTGATTTTTTTATTAACTTGTTAATTCTCCAATGCCTTTGTGAATTTTTTTCTGTCTCCTCTCTTGCTGTATCTCACTCTCTTTTTTACTATTCTGTCCAGTTTTTTGTTTGTTTTCCTCTATAGAAAGGTTGGTCCAAATACCGTAGTCTGCATCACTGTAAGTGGAAATCTCCCATATACATCTTTATATCCTCCTTTACTTAAGATTATGACAATTTTCCCATGACGCTAATATTCTTTTATTTCCCCCTGAGGGTAACGTTACCAGCTTTTACTGTATATCTAATTTGTGTCATATAGTTTATATCTCAGTTTTTTTAATTGAGGTATAATTGACATACAATATTATATTAGCTTCAGGTGTATAACATAGTGATTTGACCTTTGAATACACTGTGAAATGGTCGCGACAATAAGTCTATTTACCATCTGTCACCATACAATCATTATTTTTCAAAATCATATTAAATTATACTATATTCCTTATAGAAAATGTTTACCTGTTGTTCTAGGATCATATTCTTCTCTCGCTCTACATTGAGAACCATTCTCTTTGTATATTCTAGTTGCTTCTCTAGGAGAGTACAGCGAGACTGAGCTGAGCTTAACTGTATACTTATATCTATGAAAAAAAGTAATCATGAGTCAATTAGTTGATTATCTATAAGATTTAGTTATCACAAGAAATGCATTATGTGAATTCAATCAAGAGCTAACAGTTCAAGCCTTCTTTAGTTCTAAGTACTGACTCTCCCAGACTTATGAACATTTTTTGTGACTATCTCATTCATTATATATAAGTTGTTTAACATTACCTCCCCGTAAAAACCCAGAGGGCATACATCTGAAAGGGAAGATGTCAGTGACTTATAGGATGATAAAAATCCTGGCTGTTCCTGGGAAAGGATGTTATCTGGAAAAATAGAGGACCTAAAATCTCTTCCCTATCAATACATTTCTGCTCTTGCAAGAAATTCAGGTATGTGCATTCTACCATTCCCATTTTCCTCTGCTCTTGACTACGGACAGCACCGTTAATTCCATGAGGTGTTAACAACCTCTTTTTCAGTCTTTGCTTTTTTTACTTTCCTCAGATCTTTCTTCTATTTTTGTCCAATTACCTATGAAAATTTTTTCTCCCCATGTTTTCATTCTATTTATAAGTTGAAACAGAAACTTGAACCTTGTTTATGAGCACTGAGTGTAGTGTTACAAAGAGAAAGAAAGCAATGTTTTCAAGTGAAATTATATAAAAAACTTATGTTCTAAATCTCTAAAACTTGTGTCCAGATGTCCTTTTCATAATTTCCACAGAACCTTCACCTACCTGTCCATTTCCTCTAATTAACCTCTCAAGCTAATTAGAATTTTTATTCATTTTTGTTTTTCATATTGTTTAATTACTAATGTTGCTTTACATTTTCAAATTTTAAAAACTAGTGTTAACTGAAACTACAAAGTATTTCAATTGTGGACGGAAAAAGGGCCACAGGTTAAACCTGACAAGCTAATGAGATTGAAAATAACCACATATGATGGCGTGAGCATAAAAAAACTTTCATAACCAAGTGGGCCATGGTGGGAAGTCACATCTTTAGTTTCCTTCATAAAGTTAGTCTGTGCCTTTTCAGTGGGCCTCTCTGTTTTTCTGCACCTAAGATAACATTTTAGGAATGTCAGTAATCCTTTTTCTGGACCAGAGCTGGAAACTTGCAAAATTCCTCCTTATCATGCTTATCTCCTGATTACCATCTCTTTGTGCTGTAAAAAAGCTGTTAACTATCCTGCACCCACCTGTGTAAAAGGAGTGCCTGTCTCTCCAATTTACTTTTATCCACTCCCAGAGGTTTCCCTGCTTTGCTTTCTCCCACCCCCTTAATCTATCACCAATGGATTTCATGTAACCTTCCTCCTTTGATTTTATGTATAAAAGAAGCTGCAAACCGCCATTTTGCTGAGCATTTTCCCAATACATTGAGATTTGCTTCCCAGCAATTGTTGATAGTTTGGCTCAAATAAACTCTTATAAGTTTTCTCTTAGGCTGGATATTTTTTGTCAACACAATTACATATAGGTTAAACTGGATTTTGTTGGTATTCTGAAAATATACCAATTTCTAAATACAACTTGTCCAAAAACTTAATTTTTCTTTTGTGGATGGAAAAGGGGCCACAGGTTAAACCTGTGAGCCTGTCTATTGTCTTTTTGCACCTAAAATGACATCCTTGGAATGTCAGTAATCCCTTTTTCTGAACCAAAGCAGGAAACTACAAAATCCTTCATTATTATTCTTGTCCCTTGATTAACATCTGAAAGTAAACTAATAACTATCCTGTACCCACCAATGTAAAAGAAGTACCTGTTTCTCTAATTTACTTTTATCCAATCCCAGAGATTTCCCTGCTTTGCTTTCTCCCACCCCTTCATCTACCACCAGTGGATTTCATATAACCCTCCTCCTTGGTTCCATGTATAAAATAAGCTGCAAATTGCAATTTTGCGGAGCATTTTCTCAATCCATTGAGATTTTTCTTCCCGGTAATTGTCAGTTTGGTTCAAATAAACTCTTATAAGCTTTCTCTTAGGATGGATGTTTTTTCGTGGACACTTTTAATCTCAAAAATTTATGAATTGTAATAACAGATATAATAGAAGTTCAAACAAAGATCCATTTCCTATAAACATGAAAATGTTTGACAACAAGGCCTCAAGGTTTGAATGTATATATAAGAACAAATATATTTGAGTAAATCTGCTTAGACTAGGATTATTATTTTCTAATTTTAAAGTTTAGTAACTCCTTGTTTCTGAAACCTACTGAATTTTCTCACCTTTTTTCTGCTTTATCAGTTCCTGGTGTACCAGATTTCTCTCATTTGTTTCAATCTCCAAGGCCTTTTTATACTGTGCTGCTTCTCTGGAAAGAATATTCAGGTTATCTTCAGCTTGTGTTCTCTCTAACTCTAAACGATGAATCTTTTCCTGAAGACTTTTTAAGGCTAAAATAAGAGCTGTTGAAAAAAAAATTGCTTGATATTATAAATGAGAAACTTTGAACACTTATAATTATATAAAAGTGAGTTGTCTAAGTTTGTTGAAATTTTTAGCAACAGAATCAAAATTAGTAGTTTTATTAAGATTAAATACACAATTACATTACTTTCTACATAAAAATGAAGTTTTATATAACATACTTTGTACCATTCCCCTAATTTTAAGTAAGGTTTTATATTAACTTTACCTTGGCTATTTGGACTATGAAGCATTTTAGGAGCGGTTACTCCAAAGTTCACAGAGTGGTGATTCTGAGATGATTCATCAATCTGGGTGAATGATGGAACAAACACTCTTTCTGGAGGTTTGAGATAGCTTCCTACTATACTATGCATTAACTCAGAATCCATTATCTGTAGAGAAGAAAGCAATGATATAGTATACCATCATTCTTTCTTATTTGAATGACAAAAACATTAGACAAATATTCCAGTGAAACTTTAACATAAATACCAAATCGTTCACTGTGGAGTTGTATCTTTATGAACTTAATTATCACAAATTCAGCTATAACAAACTCAGCAATAAAAGAAAGAAAAATGACTATTTACTGTATGAACAGTATGGACAATTCTGCCTGATTTGCAATGAGCATATGCCCTGGAGTGAGCATTACACAGGTTGTGTGAATTTGCTGGTTTCTCAGTTGATCCTAAGTTCATGTAAGTCTTCTCATCTGAGCACCTCTCTATAAACAGAGTGACTCTAGGGTTCAAACAGAAAATACATATTCTAAAAGACAACACAGCTTTTAAAACAAGCCATCCATATAATCCAATTCTCTAATATTGACTGCTGAATTACAATGTACTGGCTTCCTAAGGAATTTTAAAGGGTAATTCTGGATATATTCAACTTCTGAATCTAATCCTTGAGTAAGATACAACTCCATTTAATGCACTAGCATTCTAATCATCTAGCTTAGAAGGGTTCCAAATCTGAAGACTCTAAAATAGTCTTATTTTGTCATTCTGGGCTTTTTCCTTTTTGGGTTGTTTGTAAGAGAGCTCTTTTAATCATATTAGGAGGTAATTTTTTCACCTAACTTTCCCAAATCATTCTATTTTCCTTTCTGTAATTTAAATGTTTTAGAAATGTATTCTATTTAATAGAGTCAAGTCAATGTTAATTAAATTCATAACCACATTAGAAAACACAGAGTTATAATTACTCACACACACAAAAATTCACCAGTGCAATTTTAAGAACAAAAGCTTGTTTTAAAATGTAAATTTAAATAATATATTTAAATTTGTATAATTAGCCTATTTTGATTCTTGAGAATTGCAAGCGCTCAGTGATTTCACTACCTTCATAATTCACAAGGCAAAGGAAGGCACTTCCCATGACTATATTTCCTGGGAGAGCAGAAAACACACTTCTGAACTCAAAAGGAAGTTTTTCTTTAGCCATTGCCATGATTGGCTGTCTTCTATAACATTCTGATTGGCCTAATTTAGAGATTATATAACCTTAAAAGCTTTGCTAAAATACTTGTTGCTCTTTGCTCTTGAGAGGCAACCGTTTTTGCTATTGTTGTCAGCACCAGCTACCATTTACTAACCATGTCTCCATCCCTCTGAGTTGTTGTTGCTCAGACACTGTCTGTTCCTCATGGAGAATGCATCTATCTAAGTTGCTGTTCCCTCAAAAAAACAAGAGAGCAAAGTTAGTCACAGCTGGCTCACAATGAAGTAGAAGTTGGGCCTCAAAGCACAGAAGTTCTGAAGATGGCTGTACATCTTCAGAGAAAGATGTACATGTACATCTTCATGTATATGTGGTTGAAATTATCCCAAGAACCTTTGAGTTACTCAAGATATCGAAGTCAGTTTTTAGCTCCCGGGGAGTTTCTCCAATAATGGAAAGAATGAAAATTTGCCATTGGTCATTACATGCTGAAGTCCATGGGAGGCAATCTGCTCCATCTGTCCCAAATATACTATTGGGCTGTTGGAAAAGTCATGACTCGGGCTGGCTGAGTGGCTCAGTTGGTTAAGAGCTCACTCAAGAGTTTGAGCTCTGAGCAACAGCGGTTCGATGCCTAGCCCGAGCTGAACTGCCAATGAGCTGCCAAAAGGTGGCAAAAGGAAAGTCATGACGTATTTTTTGTTTTTTGTTGCAAAATTGCATCATGACTTTTCCAACAACCCAGTATTTTACAAATTGGATTTTGCACCAATTAAAAATCAGGTTCAAATTTGAGGTTTTTAATGTATATGAACTGACTACTCAGAAGATGCCAGTATTTTAAAAGTTAGACTAAAGTTTACTTAAATGTGTAAACACATTTTAAACTGGGCATAAGCAGAGTTAACAACCCACTGGTAGGATGAAAAAAAGGTGAAGAAAAAAGAAAGGGAAACATTAAAGAAATGAGACAAGTTATGATGTGTCATAGAGCTAAGGGGTTGTCATTTTAATAGGGGGTCCCAGATTAACCCTTAACAATGAGTCTTGTGCTGTAAACAAGTGCATAAGCCCACTTGCAGCTATTTACATAAAGAGCCAGGCATCCTAGAAGAAAAACTCCTCTGAAGGGCGGTGAAAGATATGAAAAGCTTCACCCAAAATCAAAGCCTTATTTTTGGTGGAGGGGGAAAGGAGTGATTCTGAGGAGAGTATGGTAGTTGTCATTATAATTCACCTCTGACTCAGTCCCAGGGAATCATATGTGGGTGCTGGGAAGAGAGAGGGCTCTAAGTAAAAACTGGAGAAATATTTTACCAATATCTCTAAAAAGACAGAGGCATTTAGCTGCCTTGATTTGTATAAAACGTATTCCAATGAAGGGGAAGTTGCAAAGATCACTAACACAGTTTTGGCACTTTTGGGGTTCTGCTGCATTGTTCAATGAGAGAGAGAAGAGAGAAAAGAGAGAAGACAGAGAACAGCTGAAAGGGACATAATCATGGGCATGTATGAGAGAAGCTTCTGTGAATTCCAACTCCAAACCCACATGAGTATAGATTGTGATGAGGATTTCTCAGGAGAGATTCTGTTCACTCCATTCTAAGCCAAGGATGAAACAGGCAGAATCACTCTGAAGAGCAGGCTATTTTCCTGTCATTCACAGGAGAGTTCACCCTTTGGGGAATCCAGACTTTATATTGCAATGTGCAAACTTATCGCTCACCACACCCAGGCTCAGACGCTGTCTCTTGCCCCATGTAAGCAAGAGTACCTGTTGTAAACCCAGGTTCTAGGCCATGAGGGGTCAGAAGGTACTCTCAGGGATAAAGGAGGTTGTAGGACTCATTTACTCCTACAGTATTGGGCTTTCTCATTATGTACAGTCTCATATTTTCCCCTTACTTTGCTGGCAGCTCAGCCATGCTTTAAAAAAGATGTCTTCAGCATTTTATGCAGCATTTGTGTGTTTTTTACCAGGACAGATTTCTCTGAACATATAATCTGACATATCATTGAAATTGAAATAGCACACTATATATTCACCTTTGAAAAATATGCAATGACTTTATAGGAATACCATAACTATTCAATTCCAGAATTTCAGAAGCAGTTTAATCATTATGCTTCAGTAACTATCATGTACAGTGTATTAACACTATCAGGAAATTTAAATTTAATATATTGATCATTTGACATTCAAATTGACCCATTTAACATAAATCATAATTAACTTTAAAATAGCCCTTGCTGGATGTGAAAAAAAATCATTTTATAGCTATCAGAGTAAAGATTGATTTAGGCAAGAAACAGCAATGCTACATACATTCAGGGGTAGAAACTTTGATGAGGAGTGGGATATTTGTATGGTCTTAAAATATCTGCTCCACAGACTGCTTATAAAATGTAAGAAAAAATAGTAGTAGCTATATAGTAGAGAAATAAAATAATACTTTGATAGGGTGATTAAAATGGGTATCACCCATGACAGGTAAGGACATTGTGTGCATCTGGATGAGAAACCCTGAGAAACACATGTCACCTATGTAGCATTCTGGCCGGGAATGCATAATCTGATTCTCAACATGTGGAAACATCACAAAAGCCCGAAATGAAAAACATTCTATTTTTTTATAAGGTGGGGTGGACTATTTTCTTTTTAAAAATGTCAATGCCATAAAAGACAATGACACTTCTACATATATATCTCCAAAAGAATTGAAAGTAGGGTCTCAAAAAGATACTTGTACACCCATGTTAATAATGGCATTATTGGGCCGGTCGAGTGGCGCCATGGTTAAGTGCTGGCTTGGGACGCCAGAGGGCCCCGGTTCGGATCCCACATATGAGGGCCAGTGACACTGCCCTCCACAGCTAAGATGCTGAACAACAGTTCAACCTGGAGCTGGGCTGCCATGAGTCGCCGGCGACGGCGTAGGCTGCAGCCCCTTGGCAGTGGGTTGCCATGGGCTACCGTATGTAGCCAGCAGCCAGCGTGAGCGGCCAGCAGCCGCGGTGAGCAGCCGTCCAGAAGCCGGCGACTGATCTGCCTCGCCTGGAAAGAGTGCAATGATGGTGCCAACTTGGGCCAGTGAAGCAACGTCCTCCACAACTAGACTGAAGAACAAAAGGACAGCAACTTGTCTGTTCCCCTTCCCCCAATTCCCCAGCACTGTTCCCATCCCCCAATTCCCCAATAAAAATCTTAAAAAAAAAAAAATTAAAAAAATATATATAATGGCATTATTCACACTAGCCAAAAGGTGGAAGTAACCTAAATGTCCATCAATGGCTGACCAGATAAACAAAATGTATATAGATACAATGGAACGGTATTTAGCCTTAAAAATGAAGGCAATTCTGACACCTGCTACAACATGGATGAACACTGAGGACTTTATGCTAAATGAAATAAACCAGCCACAAAAAGACAAACACTGTATGATTCCACTTACATGAGGTATTTGGAGCAGTCAAACTTAGAGAAAACAGAAAAGAGAACCATGGCTGAGAGGAGTGGGGAGGGACAACTGAGAAGTTATGGAGTTTCAGTTTTGTCAGATGAAAATATATGGCAGAGTGAACATACATACTGACTTTTACTCCCTCTTGGAAACCCACTTAAATAATATTAAAACAATTTTTTTTAAAAAGACAAACTTGCAAAGACAAAGATCAGAAGAGGTCTGACAATAACAAAACTTTGGAAAATAGAAAACAGACGTACAAGTAGTTACAGACTTAGCTAATGCAAAAAGGCAGGCTCCTATCCCAAGTAAGAAAAATGACCTCCAAGTTTACCTCGCAGAACCTCCAAATGGCTCAGGAATTAGCTGCAACTTTGTAAGTAGTAGTTAGGATAGAGCTGAAAACTAGAGAACAGGATGAAATTTTAATTTAGAAGTAAATTATATGCCCAAATCCCCTTCTTCTCTTTATGCAGCCAGAAGACAGCTTTACTCCCATCTGGGAAGAAGACTGGGAGTTTTGTTTTGCCTTTTTCTAGAAAGAGGGAATTATAGAGTATCTCTGGATTGGGGTACACTCTGCACAGTGAGGGAAGGGTACTAGACTGAAAGCAGGAAGATTCAGTTCCCAGAATATTGGTAGTCTATACATCCAAGTGGAGATGGGAAGATCTTATCAGGGAAACATGATAGCCCAAGTTAACAAAGATACTAAAGATGATACAATGAATGAGTTGGATGGATTTGAAGTTTTCAATCAGTTTTTTAGTGCCCCACTCTTAAATATAAACTGTTTAACCAAGGCTTCCCAGACATTGAACAAGGATATGAAAGACAGAGACCAAAACAAGCAAATAATAAGAGGCGTAAGAGGTTCATAAAATTTGGAAATACATAATTAGTGGAGATAGAATGTATAGCCATTGAGGGACATGATAGGCCCTAGTGAATCTGACTGAAGCACAGTGAATAAAAGCTAGTAGCAGTTAAGAGGTTGTTAAAAAGGTATGGGAGGGCCAAACCACAAAGGATTTTGTATATCACATTAAGGCATTCATATTTTAAAGGATTAGGCAATGGAGAGGTAATGAAGGATATAAAGGAATGACATAATCAGGTTTGCATTCTGACAAGTTTATCAGATGATTTTGAGGTAGACAGATTGAAGGGGGAAGAAATTATAGGCACGGGGACAAATTAAGAGGTTACTAAAGTAATTAAGGAAAAATATGGGCCTAAATGAAAACTGAAGTGGATAAGATGAACACGAAACATACTTAGAAGATACAATTGAAAGGGTTTAAGAACCAACTAGATACGTGAAGTGGGGGAGGGGAAAAATAAAAAACATTCTCCAAATTTTTTTTTTTTAAATTTTTTTTTATTTGGGACTTGTAGGGATGGGAACAGTGCTGGGGAGTTGGGGGAAGGGGAACAGACAAGTTGCTGTCCTTTTGTTCTTCAGTCTAGTTGTGGAGGACATTGCTTCACTGGCCCAAGTTGGCACCATCATTGTGCTCTTCCAGGCGAGGCAGATCAGTTGCTGGCTGGCCACTCACGCTGGCTGCTGGCCGCTCATGCTGGCTGCTGGCTACATACGGTAGCCCATGGCAACCCACTGCCACAGGGGCTGCAGCCTACGCCGTCGCCGGTGACTCACGGCAGCCCAGCTCCAGGTTGAGCTGTTGTTCAGCATCTTAGCTGTGGAGGGCAGTGTCACTGGCCCTCATATGTGGGATCCGAACCGGGGCCCTCTGGCGTCCCAAGCC